TGGGGAATGTAAGTGCTGGAGAAGGTACACAGTGGGGAATGTAAGTGGTGGAGAAGGTATATAGTGGGGAGTGCATATAGTGAGGAGTGCACGTGGTGGGAAATGCGCATAGTGGGAATGCCTATGGCGGGAAGCCGTTATAATGAGGACTTGGTAGGATTGTTATGGGGAGGGTATATATAGTGGGGGCCATATATGGTTAGGATCGTACATGGTGGGTATACATGTGGTGGAGAATTCATATAGTGGAGGATGCATATGTGGAGAGTATACATGGTGAGACATGCACATGGTGGGTGGTACACATGTTGGGGAATGCGTATGGCAGGTTGTATACATGGTAGAGAATGCATAGAGTGGGGAACGCACATAGTGGAAAATGTATATGGTGTATAGGGGGAAGTGTGCACGGTAGGAAATGCCTGCGGTGGGAAGCATATGTGATGGGAACTACTATGGTGGGAGTGTTATGTGGGAATGTATATATGGTTAGGATTGCAGGTGCTGGGCAGTATACACGGTGCGGAACGCCTGTGGTGGGGAACGCCTATGGTGGTGAGTGTTATGGTGGGGAAATGGTTGATGAGACTCTAAGTAGTGAAAACTTTTGAAAAGTAATCTGCTAAATCTGTTAAAACTTTAAAAATATATTCTTTGACCAATTATGTCCCCTCCTGGCAACTATCTCAAAAGAATGAAAGTGCCAGTGTATTTAGAAGTATATCAATTGTGGCACTGTTTGGCAAGGAAAAAATCTGAAATAAAGTTAATATCCATCAGTAGGAGCGTGACTAAGTAAACTTGTACATCTGTGCCATGGAATATTAAATAATTATTAAAAAGAAGTAATTAGAGCTATACCAGTTGACTTGGGGGTTTATATGTGGAATTGTCGAGCCAAACAAATGAACAAATGACATAAATAAATATAAGAAGATACAGTAAAGCACATATAAGATGATAGCATTTTTATGAGACAAAAAAAATGTTCTGTGCATGTTTATGTGTATGTTCGTACATGCCATGATGGAGAGAAAGCATAAAAGTTCATACTTCATGTTGTGAACATGGGTTTCCTGAAATCGGGATGGAGGAGGGTATCTGTAAGTTAAAACATAGGTGAAATGGAAAAAGGGAGCGACACAACAAAGAAAAAGAAAAACAATACTGCATCATGGACCATCCATATGAACATACGTGCATGTGCATAAAATTATGTGTGTGTGTATCTATGTAAGGCTGTGCAAATAAACTAAAAATACTTAGTTTTTAAATAAGGACCTTAAGAAAAGGTCAGATTTAAAATAAAAGGTTAAAAGTCGACGCTAGTTTTTAACTTTTGGTTTACTGAATTAAAAACTGATGTTCAAAGCTCGAGAGCCACAGCGCATGAGAAGTGATGGCATCGTGCAGACGCTGTGAGGCCTAGACGCGAAGGGCAGGGCGCAAACAGAGTGTTCACGGTGTGTCGGGTGAGCCTGGGTCTGCAGCAGTGTGACCAGCCTGCCCTGTGCGCCAGCAGGGACACCACTGTGTCTGTGCAAAGTGGGGAGGGCTCCGCCCGCCTCCCCAGGAAAGGGTTCAGGGAAGACATGAGTCACTGTGGGAAAGACCCAGAAGCAGGCACAGGCAAAGCGCCTGGGTTTAGAAAGCTCGCTCAAGGGGGTTTATGGCAGTAACAACCTTTGCAGCTTTTCAACTGTTAACTGAAAGGAATTCCTTCAGGTAAGGTCCACAGTCATTTTTAAATCCACACTGACAAGGACTTGAGACTAAGAGGACTGGGATTTTTATATATGAGAGGATTTTATATATGCATATGAAGGTATCCATTCTCAGTGAGGACACTTTTTGTATTTTAAAACATACATATGGGTCAAATTTTATGTAATCACTCAGATCTAAAATAAAAATAAATTCAGTGTTCCCATCTCATTAGTCACTGGAAACATGAATCTCAGTAAATCAATCATCTGAACGTGAATCAGCAGTGGACTACCCCTCATCCCAAAAGAACAGGGGACAGACGCAGGTAAGGAGGCAGGCGGGTAATGAAGAACAAGCCTGGTTCCTGAGCATCTTCTTGGGAGGGTATACTTAGACCAGGCAAAGGCACAGCCAAGAATCGTACGAGGGACTTGTGCTCAAAACTGGGGAAAATGGATACAGGAAATTAAGGAGGAGGCAGAGGATGTGCTTCCCGCCTTCTACAGAGCTTTACTATTTACGCCCACAAAACTGACCATGTGCATTCTTCCACTAAGAGCAGTTATGTTTCTACACGTAACCTCTCTCCTCCTGTTCCGAAAGTTCTCTAAAGGCAAGTTCTCAGTTAAAGTCACCTTTGTGCACCCAAAGTCATAGCACAATGACTCTTGTGTTACAGTCAATCATCACATGCAAGTCCCCTACTTGAATATATTCCTATGTACTGCTAACCTCTATATACGAGAAACAGAAACACAAGAGCGATTCACACAAACAAATGACAGAAAGAAAGATAAAGACCAAAACCTGGTGCTTTCTAAATTTCATCTAGTTTAAAAACCATCTTATGATATCCTGAGCTCCAAAGAATATATGTCAAAACTGATGTTCAGAATTATAAATATGTAGGTACATAAGAAAAAAATAGGCTTATTTTGTTTTCATTTCAAATCAGGAGGACAATGGATTTTGGAGGAAATGGCAACAAATATAAATGAAAAAACCTTTAAAGATAAATATCTTTGTAGATTTAAGAAAGTATCTTATGAATAGAAATAGAAGCTTTCACAAATTATAGCAATGAGAATTTGTCTTATGCATTTAAAAGAGGCTGAGCACTTTACTCTTAAATGCCTTAGTTATTCTATTTGACTCTAAAGTTTAACAATGCATCTTGATTTCTTAACACTAACATTTAATAATCACTTAATTACAATTGCATTTGAATTGCAACAAAAATATTTACTTTGAGAGCCAGAGTTCAGCTGGGCTGGTGCAGATGACTGATGTGGTCTTGACAATGGCTTTGGAGGTAGTTCTTTCGCCTGGGAGAAACAAAAAATAAATACACATAATTTTAAAATCTTGTTTTTACTTAGGCACATATAACTCTTTTCTAACGAGTTTATCTAGCAAAGTTTTATCCTATGTGCTTATTAATGAGGCATTCTCTAAGCTCACATGCACCCCTCCAGATGCCATGAAATTGAACTGGATGACAAGACTTGGATGTGGACAGGGCGTGCTCTTCTCATGCCTGAAGCTCAGCTCCCCCAGGCACTTCTGACCATCTGTGCAAGGTCTGAGGGAGCTGCAGAGATGGTGTAGTAGTAACTGGCTCAGCAAGTGACTGGCAGAGGCTGTGGCAGACACTCTAGGGCTTCATTTTCATTCTATGAAACAGGCATCAAACCACCTCTGAAAGGTGCTGTGGAGCCTGATGAACAATGCAATTCCCGTGGTGGCCCGAGACCTAATGTTCAAAGGTGCCAGTATCTGCAACTATTATTCATGTTATTATTATTATTCTTGAGACAAGGTCTTGCTCTGTTGCCCAGGCTGAGTGCAGTGGCGTGATCTTGGCTGAGTGCAGCCTCATGGGCTCAAGCGATCCTCCTGCCTCAGCCTCCTGAGTAGCTGAGATTTTTGGCATGCGCCGACACTCCCAGCTAATGTTTTATGGCAGAGAGCGGGTTTCCCTATGCTGGCCAGGCTGACCTCAAACTCCTGATCTCAAGTGAGCCACCTGCCTCGGCCTCCCAAATATTATTTGCATAATTGATACAACAAAGTTTCATTCTTGGAGAAATGCAATCACAGAAGACAAATTATGTTTTTCCCTGAAATTTGTATGAGGAAATGTCAAGGTAGCATGACATTTTCACAAGAACTTTAAGTAAGTGGAACTACGAAGGAGGCTTAGTAGGTTCTTAGGAACCTGATATCAAGGACAGAATGTTCTACAGAAAGAGATGTCTGAGAATATGGAGTGAAACATAAAACCAAACGGTACAGAAGGCTTCCTCTGCTGCCTTGCTGCTTTTCTCAAATTGATTCGTTGTCCTTCATTTTCATACTTTTCAGTAAAGGAATCAAGAATTTCATAAAGATCTTCGGCTTGAGCAGGCCGTGGTGTGTCTCCAAATAAAATGTCATATGCTCGGATATCTTGACAATAAAATCTAATAGGAAATATAAAATTAAAAACATTTTTAATATACAGAAATCTTTTCTAGAGTTAAGCACAGCATGTGCACACATACACGGTGAATATATATAATCACTCATCTATAGCAGTTCATATAGACCACTTTTTAAACACTAACTTTAAGCAATATCCCATGTTCAAGTCTTAAACTTACCCCAAAGTTCACCTCTACAGGTAACTACCATAAATATCCTTATAGGTACCCTTTATTAATATAAAAATCATACCCACATTATCATACGAATACTTATACTTGCACATATATACATACACACATATTCATACATAAACACATAAAAGTATTCACACAAGCACATACATTTTTATAGGTTTTTACTTTTTAAGTTTCTTAAAAAATGGTGCCTGTAACTGTGGCTTTGTAATTTCCTTAAAATATTTATCAAGATTAAATAAACATTTGCCTTACATGCCTAGAGGCCCTGCAATTCATTAAGCAACGTATTTGCTTTAGTTTATCCATGGTTTAGTTGAACTTCAGTGGGAAGGCCTGCCAATGGCCTAGAACCAGCAGTTTCTAAAAGCATTCTTTTGTTACACTTTTCTCAAATTAATAAAACCAGGAATTAATACTTCACTTTTGATTTTATAAGATGAATAGTTCTGCAAACCTTGTTTTCCCCCGTCCTTCCTATTTCCTACCTCTTGTGGTTTATATTTAGCTTTATCAAATAGTGCTGCTGAATTCCTGAGTGACTCGTGGGGTAAACACTGGAAGCTTTGTCTCTGATAGTGGGGGGTCTGTCTCCGCACGTGGGGAATGTGAACAGCCAGCACCAGTGGTGTGGCCTGATCAGGCTGGCAGTTAGTGGAGCTTCTGCAGGTTCTGGAAGAAGTCCTGTTGTCAGACTTAGCTCTTTATATCTTTCACATATTTTAGTGGCAATTTGCAAGAGCCACTTAATTTGCATCTTTGGGAAAATTAGCCAGATGCCAGTTTAAAGTAGAATTTTCCCTTTACCTTGGAGGATACTTCCAGATTCTTTTTTTAAAAAATCAAACTGTATTTTAAATTGGTCTCTATTCAATATGGAGGAAAGACAAAGGTGACACACAGCACGGACACTGACTGAGCCAGGAGTGGCGGCTGGCGTGCCGTCTAGAGACCTCTGAAAATCACCGAAATCGGTGCTTCCAACTGAGCGTGAGTAACTTTTGCTCGCATTTCTTAATCTTAAAATGCAAAGTGGGAAAACAGTATTTACAATTGAATATACATGGTGATTACCATCATTATGGCAAAACAAAAAACTTATGTGGAGGAAAATGTTGGAAGGCAGGGAAGGAAAATGTGAATTGTGTTAGTCCTTTAAGGGGACAGAATGTTTTTATTTGTTTTATTTTTTGTGTGTCTTCTGCATTTTCTAGAGCATACATGATTTTTATATTTGATTTTTAAATGTAAGATATACACTTAAAATCGTATTGTAAAAAGAATATATAAATGTACCCTGCAAATTGTATTAACTTTTGAAGTATTATTTTCTCAGCACACTTTAAATCAAAATCGCTTTAACTTGAACTGACTTTCTATTAGTTTCTTTCCTTTCAATCAAACAGCTCCCTTCTAAAGACACGCCTGCAAAGAGCCCTCTGGACTTGCAGTAGGTGAAGACAGCGGCCGAGCTTCTGAGGGCGACGTTTCCTTCCAAGTTCCTGCAAAGCACAAGATTTTGCATCACAAGTGGTGAGCAGCTCTAAGCCTGAAGATAACCATTTAAATAGCAGGCTTCTAGCGCAAACGAATTACCTCCTTCTGTACCTTCTTCAGCTGTTTCTATGTTTTACTTACTGTAGGCCTAAATTAGATGTTATAATGTGGTCTAGAGGAAAAACAGGCCTGGGGAAGAACATATATAAAGGTATTACAGAAGGCTATGATAATATAGAACTGTGTTGCAAAAGAATACAGTGCAGAATGTGTAAATATATTTTTTAAAATTTGCAAATCTGATATTTTCCAACTGGATCTTCCTCTCTTAAAACTGGAAAATACATCTCAAGAGTGCTAAAGAATTTGGATTCTTTTTGCATTGTGTATTTTCATGGCACTCAGAAACATTTTTAGCTAATTTTACTGTGTAACTTCTATAAATAGTATGGATATTGCACAATTAATCCAAGACTAGCACTTCATTAATAGAGAAGAAAAATACACTTTAAGTACTAGAAACATGGCTCAAAGAAACACATCCATTTCCAATTTTTATGATTTACTTTGAAAAAAAGCTTTTTCTTTCCTGATTGAAGCTGAACTTTTATCACAAAATCTGACTTGCCTTTGGCTCCCTGAAAGCTTAAGGTGGATTTTATGTTCAAGTCTGACAGATACAATGGCCTATGTCTCTAAAACATTTCATTCTTCTTGTATGTTCTGGTTTCAGATTTTCTAGCTTATCTTACTGGCTGTGTTTTGTGAATTTCCTATTTGTGATGACCTTGAATCTTCTGGGCAATATAAATCTGGGGATGCATAAATCTGCTCATTTTAACTCAAGTTTCCTATTAATGTAAAATAAAATATGCAGTTGTTAAATCTTTACTGTCTAACATCTATTCAAAGAACTCACCTTCCCAAGGGCCCGACAGCCACAGTCAAGTTCCCCCCGAGGGTTAGATTTCCACCTTTCGCAAAAGCTTCAACAGCACGGTCATAATTCAGAATTATCACCAAGTCTGATACCTAAAATGTAGAGACACACTGATGTAAAGATAGTTAAGACTAAATATCATTTAAAATTTATCTTGACTAAAACTCAACTATACCATATGCAATGTAGCAAAATATCAATATAGACAGGAAAGAATGTCAAACAAGAGTCCTATTTTTATTTTGAGCTGATGAATTATAAAGCCAATATTGCCACAGGTAATTACAGGAAACTGCAGTGAGCATTTACTGTGTGCCATGTGTATACTATGAGCTTTACCTGCATCATGTCCTTTGATCTTCCAAACAGCCTGGTCATGTAGGCGTGATTCCAGGGTTTGGTGGGGTTAGGTAAACTGTCAGTGCTAACAAATCAAACAAGGGTTGCAGGAAGGGATCCGACATGCTCTCTGATCTCATCAAACTAAACACTTCATAAAAGCCAAGCCCAAAGAGTACAGCAGCAGGGTCTATGGGGCTGAAGGCCCTGGGAGGCTTTCTACATGCCCCTCCTGGCAAGGGGTGTCCCCCTACTAGGAAGCTGAACGTGGGCCACTTCGCTGTAGGTCACAGAAGCTCAACATATCAGAAAGTAAAGTAGTTTCCATTAGGAATGCCTACTTCCATGACTTAATTTTTCTTTTTCTTTTTTTTTTGAGATGGAGTTTTGCTCTTATTGCCCAGGCTGGAGTGCAGTGCTGTGATCTCAGCTCACTGCAACCTCTACCTCCCAGGTTCAAGTGATTCTCCCAACTCAGCCTCCCGAGTAGCTGGGATTGCAGGCACCCACCACCACGCCTGGCTAATTTTTGTATTTTTAGTAGAGATGGGTTTCACTATGTTGGCCAGGCAGGTCTCGAACTCCTGATTTCAGGAGATCCACCAGCCTTAGCCTCCCAAAGTGCTAGATTACAGGTGTGAGCCACTGTGCCCAACTGACTTAATTTTTCTCTAAATAAAAGCAGAAACTACAATGAGACTCAACTGAATGCTCAAGGCATGTCAACATGGAGAAAGGATTTGTTTCTCTGATTCATCACTGCAGTGGGGAAGCCCAAGGTTAGAACTGAAAAATAACACAACCCATCAAATGAGAGGCAGCACGGGCCAGGGCACCCCCGGTGTGGAGAACCAGCATCCACCTCAGCTTCTCTTCCCAATAGCTGTGTGCCTTGGGGTATTTAACCAGCCTTTGGGTCTCTGTGTTTAAAATTTGCTTACACCTCATTAAGGTGTATTACCTACACCTCATGAAACTGCTGGTAGAGTCAATTAAAAATATTTAGGTGTGAACTCCACTACTCTCTTTTGTTCAACGGTTCCAGATCCCTGCAGGAAGTCTGTCTTGCTCCTTCTTGTAAGCAGTGGAAATAAACCGAGGGCCATTGCTGCTCACAGGCTTCCAGGCTGTCTGTGGAGCTCTTGACCTGGTTCTCAGGATAATTGGTAGTGTCACCAAAAAACACAGGATTATCTTGTTCTTATTTCACAAGAACTAAAGAGAGATCAGAAAAAAAAATCAAAAGATTTTTTTTCCTTTAGCTGCCTCTTGCACTGTGCCACGATGTGCCAAGCAGAAGTAGAACATCACAACCAGTGTAGCTACAAGGTCATGGGTAGAAACTCGTGTTTTCTGAGTGTGTATGTGTCATGCATGATGAAAAACAAATTTGTTATATAAAAATACATATAAGATACAGGTTATACACTGCTTAACTTTTCATAAGAAAAGCTGAATAGTTCTGTGCCATTCACCACCACAATCCTCAGAAATTGTCCATCCGTAAAATAAAAGGAACAGTTGGCAAGAGTCAAGTTGAAGCATCTTGTGTGGGTCAGCTATCTGGTAGATTTAGTTTGTCCTACAGATCTTAAGTGTATTTTATATCATAAAATGATTCAAATTAAACATTATTAAGAACATACATGTATCAGGAACTCTCTTACGGCCTTTCAAGTATAGTCTCAATTGGTAATAATAGGATTTTTCTGTCACTCATATGAAAATGTTGACTTCAGAGCATTGATATGATTAAAAAATGTGAATAGCTATGTAATGACGGCATGTTTTTAAACATGAGTCTGCCTGAGTGTGTGCCACTATTATTACACCCATTTTCCAGATAAGGAAATTGCAGCTCTCAGCAGCTCAATAATTTGTCCAAGGCTGCACAGCATGCAAAAGAGAGTAAGTCAGGAGTTCGAGACCAGCCTGACCAACATGGTGAAACCCATGTCTACTAGAAATAGAAAATTATCCAGCATGGTGGTGCCTGCCTGTAATCCCAGCTACTTGGGAGCTGAGGCGGGAGAATTGCTTGAACCTGGGAGGCAGAGGTTGCGATGAGCCCAGATCACGCCATTGCACTCCAGCCTGGGCAACAAGAGCAAAATTCTGTGTCAAAAAACCAAAACAAAACAGTGTATCGGTCTATAAAATGCTATTTAAAGTCTTTCTATTTCATTTCCTGGATGATGGGACTATGTTTCACTTGCACTTGTTTTTCAGGGACTAATGGGCCCTATGGTTAAAAGTCCAAACTTTTCAAAGAATTACCATGGAAACTCTCAACTTTGGTCTTTAATATATTGAGATTTAATACAGAGTTCATGACTGAGTCTCTCATCATTTTTGAAATAAATACTCAAGGCATGCCCCCCAGATGCTCACAGCACGCCCCAGCCTCACAAGGAGCCAGAGGGTGGTGGAAGAAGGGAGGTGACGCAGCACAGCTAGCAGTTTAGGGGCAGGATCTGTGGAGAGAAAAAGGCCTTTCAACAGGGAGGGCCCAGGGACTGGGTGGGGGTGGGGAGAGGGGAAGGAGGGAGGTGAGAAGGAAGGGGAGGAAAGCCACAGTCCCTGATGAAAACGCACTTTCCACCAGAGGGCGAGATTTTGGAAAGCTGTGATTTGGCTGCATACAGTACAAAAATGCCATCATGATAAGCAAAACTAAAATATATTCCTTCTATACTAGAGATTTATACAGCAGTGAGTAAAGAAGATTAAAAAAAGATGAGAGAAGAGTTAGAAATACTTCCTCCTAAAAAGGCTGAGGGAATTTAAAACCATGACAACAGAGCAAATTTACACAGGGTAGCTTAGGGAGAAACTGAAATTTGAGAAGAAAATGAGTTGAGCGTACCCAGAGATTTGATTTCCAGTCCCTTACAAATAAAACAACGGATTGGAGAGGAGCATCGGCCCAGAGGATCGCTGTGAAGGAGACCTCTGTGGACGTGCACCTCCTGGAGTGCAATGTCCACTCCACCCGACAGATGCCAGAATCCCAGGAGCAACGTTACACACTCAAGTAACGTGAAGCCCTTCTTTACTTAAAGAATTGGAAGGCATTTGAGTATCCTATGTTACAAAACTGGATTTTGCCACAAACGATGATGCACTGCCCAGGTTATTTCAATGCCCACTGAAGGAGGACGGTGGCTTTGCCATGAGCAGTCCATAAACTGCCAATGACAGTTGCCCAGGGGTTGAGATGTGCCTGCTATACAGATGTGCATGAGACAGAAGCAGATAAAATGGCGAATGAGAGAAATCCTACTCATGATGAAAGAAAAGGAAAGAAAATGGGAACCACCAGATAGCTTTAGTTAGACATTCATCAAGAAAATAAAGGAAACAGTTCTCCTACGTGTCCGTGGTAACAATAAGAAGACTAGGAAACCTCTGTTTTCACAGGTGGTACCTCAGCTGTCTTCAGAGGCTATGGCAGTCGTATGGGTATGCACAGCCCACTTACCTCAATTCCTATTTCAAATCCCCCACCAAGGCCGGCTATCCCAATGGCTGAGGGTGCAGACCATGCTAATAAAAACAAACAGACAGAAAAGTTACCCCAACACTAAAACACCTCAACATGTAAATATAGGAAGGAAAAATGCTAAAATCTAAAGGCTGTTTCTATTTAAAATAACGAGATTTGGTATTTCCCACTATTTTAAAGTGTTCTTCAAAAAGAAAATGTAATTTTTAAACAGTTAAAAATATTTGAAAAGGATTAGATATTCATTCTGAGTCTCATAGCCTCACGAGCCCACCTCCTCTAATCTCTCTCTACCAACATGCTTAATACCAAACCACTGGTTCTCTAACCATTAACCATACATGGCACTTGGTAACTTCAACTGTCAATATTTTTATAAAGCAACTTAGCTGTAGCTCTAGTCTTCAGCTAGAATTTTGTCATAGATTTAAGCAATCAGAAGGATTCAATAGAGTTTATTAACTAACGGTAACATGATCATTGTTTCCATTGTAAATTTCTGAAGGCAAAACTGTTTTAACACCTCTAATGCTTAAGCACAAGAAATAGGGTACAGATTCATGGTCATTAAAATTCTAACAAGATAAATCACATTTAGAAACTAAGTACAGTAATTCCATTTGCCACAATATGGCACATTTTAGGATTACTATATGCTTATTTTTCTTGATATAGAAACAGTCATGGTAAACAAGTCTAGAAAAATGGCCAAAGCACTTTTTGAAAATTGTTGCTGCCATGCATGCTAGATAACAGAATATCGCTGGAATACTTCCAGAACTATCCCATCCAGGCTTAGAGAAGTTTGGGTTACAGAAATTCGTGTCTGATAAACCCAAAGTTATTTTTCGTTCCCTATGTTAGGAACTGTCCCTGTGTTAAGATGCCTGGTCTTGGCCGGAATCCTGGGGGAACGTGTCGTGCCTTATTTGGACAGTTTTTAAATTACTCTCAGCAGAGTCAGCAGCTGTAGCTCAGGAAGAAGGGAGAGAACTGTAGGTTTTGAAGCCAGCAGGAAGGTTGGCTGGGCTCTGAGAGGAGCCCAGGGCTTGGCATTGACCGTCCCTCCCTTTGGTCAGCAAGTAATCTGGTCAATGGAGCAGCTGGGGATCTGGGACACTTGGGGTCTTTCTCGTAGACTTTGAGTCCCATCTGACAATGGGACCCCTTGAAATGAGCCTCTGTTTCGTTTGGTTTTACTGTGGAGAAGTCCGCTCATGGCAATTTGGACAATGCTTGAAAAAAGATAATTGTGTTCTTCTTATTTTCAAAGCTACACACAGCTATGAAAATGGACCCCCATATTAAGGAAGAGATTCTTGTTCACTGTGGGGCAACCTTGGTAAGAAATGGTGAAGCCTGGTGACTGATATTTAAAGGCTGTGTTTCACAAACATGTATATTCTATATTTATTTTAAGTGTCCCATGCGCTCTCAAAATATAATAATCTATGCTAAAAAACTGCTACTGATAGAAAAATGTGTTCACTGAACAGCACATGTTAAATTGGTATAAAAAGTATTTTGCTGGTTTTGACACACCTATGTCCACTTTAAATATTACTATAAATGTTGGTACTTGGGATTCATAACAAATCTTTTGATTTCATCTCTAAAGAATGAAGTAGTAGATTTCACCCCAGAAAGTAAAACTAGATTATACTGGCTCTTGATACAATTCTGCCTTGGGAAAATTCTTCCAGTGTCACGGTTTCTATAACCTACCACAGAAACAAAGAAGTTCACACGTGGCCCCTTATTTTCATATCAATTTCCATAAAAAAAAAAAAAAGAAAGCAGCCATACCATGAAGTTGAGAGATAAGAATTCATATTAAACAAAAGAAATGCATATACTGCCATGTTTAAATATTTGCTCTGTGGAAGAATTACAAAATGCGTGCAAACAAAATTGGGTCCACTGCCCAGGCTTGTCTAATATTCTGAGGACAGAGAGAGACAGAAAGGCTGGTTCCCTCGCTTGTTCATGACACCAAACTGCGCGTTCAGTCAAGTAGCCCTCATTCCATAAGCGTCAGTTGCTGTGCAGGAAACCTGTCCTACTCGCTATGCAATGTGTTCATACTGGAAACAGACAGAAGAAAGAACAAAGATTATCTACTCCAGTGAACAGATGCCAACTTACTTCCGTCTGGAAGACGTGCCAGTACAATCCCACTGCCTCCTCTGGCGGTCACCAGGAACCCGGCTTTGATCACAGACAGAATTGCAAGGCCTTTAGCCTTCGCAATTACATGAGCTGTTAACGTGGAAAACAGTGGAAGATAAGCGTTTTTATCTAGATGCCGGGATAGACGAGCCAGTGTTACACAGAGTCAGCGTGCACAGGTGCTCTCCCTAGGAGCTCAGGGCACACAGGAGCAATGAACAGAAGTCAGTCGCTTAACAGACAGGTACAAGGCCTCTCTATTCCCACGCATGTTTTTTGTGTTTGCTATTTTTGCAGTGCTAAACACAACATCCTAAATATCCTCGAATCCTGCAAAATATTTGCCCTGCTAATAGATATCAATAAAATCTTTCAAATATCAAATTTATTAGACAAATTATTTGATAAATAAATTAGATAAATTAGATATTTGAAAGAGATTTTATTGTTATCTATTAGCAGGGCAAATATTTTGACAATTTCAATTAATTTAGAATATAGTATACAATATAAAAGATAAAAGTTACTATTTTCAAAGAAATTAAGATCCATATAGTATTAAGGAAAAACTTTAAAAATTACTGAAAGGCCGCATGAATTAGAGCTTTGATCTTAAAGCCATCTAGCTAAATTAACCTTGTATTAATATAAAAATTTGGATTCAAAAACAGAAAAATAATTTTTCAATGTTAAAACATTTTTAACATTATAAAATAATCTGCTATAGCATTCGAGTACCACTTAACTCCTAGTACACTGAAAATATGTTCAATTTAAAAATATCGGTTTTTCATATTTCAGAGACGTTCATTACATAAATGAGGGTTATTAGTATATGTATCCAGTGAATATAGTGCCACACTATTCTGTGAATCTACAACACAATAATACCTCTTTCAAGCTAACGAGGGAAGCCTAGCATATAACTTTAAGCTAGTTTAATTTATTATTATTTGCATCAAATATTCTGCCAAGAAAGTGAAGCCAGACATGGTGCTCTAGTACACAGAGCAAAGGCTTTGCAGATGCCCCAAGAGAACACTAAAATTCTCACATAATTATGCCACCATTTCAAAATTTAAATTAAGAACAAACCCTTGGAAATAACTGATCCAAGACCATGAAGTTCGCAGGCAGAACACGTGTGGAGCTGTTCTCAGTAAGAAAGTTATGGAGAACAAGGTTGCATCCTGGATGGCTGGCTACTAAGTGTACTTTTGTATTTTAAAAAGTTATAATTACACTGCAGTAAGACTGAACGCTGTATCATACATCGTGCAGGTTTATATTTACAGCCACCTGTTGGCAGAATGTCTTCCTCACATTCTGTTTTCAATGTTCTAGAGTTGCTATTGTTCCTATTGAGAATTAGATATTAACAAAAACAGGTTTTAAAATGAATATATTCCACATGTCAACTATATTTTTATAGATTTCCACTCAGATTCAGGGAAATGAAACACTAATAATCCCTAAATAATCTGCCAGTTAGCTTTTGATTTATAACATAAAATGTAATGATTATAGATTTAATTGCTAAATTAAGCTTCACTTAACTCTCAGAACCCTAACATTTTGGGAGGCCAAACACACCATTGGAAGGTCTAGAGACCTAGGTGTCTTGTTTAAGTGCTTTGCAGATGCAGTTGTTTATCCTGTGATATAGCGTCTTTGTCTTAATGTAAACACAAAGCCCCATCAGACTCCCCGGTGAGGGAAGGGAGCTTGTATCTCTGTGGGCTGTGGAACTCTCCTATTGCCACACCCACACCTCGGGGCAATCTCTTTCATTTTCTGAGCTTCACCCACTGAGTGTGACTCCCTCAGAATACTGATACTGAAAAATCTACTTTGTCTTGTTGAGTTTTCTTTCAGCTCTAAAGCATCTGAAACTCGTGTGTGTGTGTGCCTCACTGGGACGGTGTGAGCAATGCAGACAGATCTGTGACATCGGAGCAGACTGCTCAGGAGCTCCCAGGGTCTGCCAAGGTGCAGGTTCAGACTGCACCTAGAGTGGCAAGGGGGCTCTACTAAGCACTGTTTTCTCCAGACCGGAGAAGTCACTGGGCCAGCGCAACAAGGATTAATATTATGATTCACATTATTAAAACAGTAACGAATTTTTAAAACATTATTTGAAGCTCTATTAAATAACTTCAGATATCTGGCTTAGAAAAATTAAACTTAGCTCTTTAATGCAGGACTCAGAGTCATGCACTGTGATTAACTAAGCGGGAGGCTGGTCTGAAACATTGTCCAGGCCGACTGGATGAGACAAGCATGCCGGGAACACCCTCTGGAAACGGGAAGTGGTGATGAACAGGCCACGGTTTTCAAAGACGCCCCTCTGGACCACAGCTTATGTGGTCACTGTCAGAGAATTACTAGTCATAAGAATTACACAAAAACCACATGTAAGACAAGCATTCCTGGACACACTGCACTAAAAGTCTGATTCAGCAGGTTTGGAGTGAAGTTTAAGAATTGCGTTTCTATGGCCTGGGGGTACCGATGCACATCTGTGTTGGGAATTGGTGATTAATGTCTTCTTAAGCCACTAGAGAATGTAAATGTCTCATGTGCAAGGAGAAAACACAAAATTAAAATTTATGTATGAGATTAGCTTGTGAGTTTGCAAGGTTAGCTTGCAGAGTTCTTAGCACGCCATGCAAAGGACAGGCGAGGCTGCAGAGAGCTGAAGTGGAGCAGGAACATGTGGTGTTAGGGCGCTGGACCCCCGAGGCCGGAGGCAGGAGGAAAAGCCTATGTAAAAAGGAGAGACAGGGAGGGAAGAGGCCTGGCTGGTTTGCCTGATCTGCAGCTGGCCCTGTCCAGACCCCTTGCACCTGGAGTAGCAGGGCTCTGTGAGGACTATTTCCTCATGACGGGAGAAGTGGCAGGAATGCAACAATAATTAACATCATTATTATTTCACTATTAAGATTATTATATCAATAACAAATTTTCCAAACAGAGCTGAGTCATGTGCTGTGATTATGAGGGAGTCTGGTCTGTAACATTGCTGAAGTGACTTGGCATTTGGATCTCCTTTGCATGAAATGAGTTGTGCTGTGAATACCCTTTGGAAATAACTGGAAGTGGTGATGAACAGGTTGTGGTTTCCAGAGCATCCCTGGATCGGCCATGGGAAAGACGCTGGTGGAGCCACCTGTTGGCCCTGATGGAGGCTTCTGCCTGAAATGGAGTCTCGAAGAACACAAAAAACGACTTAGGAAAAAAAACATTTAGAGACAAACAGCACTCATCCTATTTACCTACCAGGAATGATCTTGTCAGGTCCATTTCTGGAAGTTATTTCTGTGAATTCTCTTAATATTTTGGCAGCCTTTTTCGCTTCTGATTTCAAATTGGAAGGTATAGGGTTATTCACTGAAAGATGAAAAAAATGTATTTTAATGAAAAATTCTACTAAATAGAAGTGAGAAATTTATTGTAATTTCATTTTTCTCATATACAACTGTCAGAGGTTGTTCAAACCAGAGGGACTCCGTCTTGAATAGGAGCTGGGCGAAGCAAGGCTGAGACCCACAGGGCTGCATTCCCAGGAGTAAGGCATTCCAAGTCACAGGCTGAGATGCGAGGTCCACACAAGATACCGGCCAAGAAGACGTTGTTTACAGCACGCGGCAAAGGAGTCGCAGCCAAACCCACCGAAACCAGTATGGCGATGTGGTCATCCTCACTGCTCACTTTACATTAATTCTAACGTGATGGCTTGCTAAAAGACACCAGTGCCATGACGGCTTACGAATGCACGGCAACATCAGGAAGTTACCCTGTATAGTCTGAGAAGGGGAGGAACCCTAAGTTCCGGGAATTGCCCACCCCTTTTCCAGAAAACTCATGAATAATCCACTCCTTGTTTAGCATATCATTGACAAATAACTCTAAGTATCCTTACTCAGGCAGCCCAGGCCAAGCTCCGCCGATGGAGCACTCTTCTTCATTCCTTTACTTTCCTACTAATAAACTTGCTTTCACTTTGCTCTGTGGACTCGCCCTGAGTTCTTTCTAGTGTGAGGTCCAAGAACCCTCTCTTGGGGTCTGGATCGGGACCCATTTGCGGCAACACGATGAAGCATTAACACAGCATGGCCTACCAAAAAAATGAACTGTGAATCCCCATTGACAATATCATCTCTCTTCTTCTAATGAGTCAAAGCTATGTTGAGAGTGGGAAACTCTAAACTCTCAGAATCTCAGAAGTTATAAAATCCTGGGACCCTAACGGATCTTAAACAAAACCTGGCCAAGCCTCTCCATTAAGCATCCTCTTCCTGCAATCAACACACTTTAATACTAATTTAAAATAATAATTAAAGTTTTAAAAGTAAATATATTTTGTAACTATAATATGTAGTATAAGATTTAATATATTTTGTTATTCTTGTCAGAAATGTTGGAACTGGCTGCCTGTACACTTTCCTGTTAGCAAAACTCTAGGAGACTCAGGAATTGAGTCTACAGGTAATGACGCCTGCACGTCTACGGCACTTAACACTTCCACGTCGCCTGGACATTCGCACACTCGTTGACAGTTTGGCATAACAAGCTCACACAATTCTTCCAGCTCTGCAGTGTATCAGAGAAGGGACCAGGGATCAGCAGAGCAAAGAATCTGATGGCGTCAGTGCAGACCAACGAGAGCCCCAAGGCTGAGGAGCTGTTGTCTCAGGGTCTACAGTTAAGATGCACATGGTGACTGCGGGACCTCAGGACCTGGAAGGTTGAAGGCAATCATTTCCACTGTTTCACCCTGGTAATTGGCAGAATGTAGATGAAGCATGCTAAAGGAAGCTTGCTTTTGTCAAAGGTAATTAAATCTCAGGACCCCAAAATCACTGAGCCAAGGGAAAAGTCAAGCTGGGAACTCTGCCAGGCAAACCTGCCTCCCATTTTATTCCTAAATAAGATAGCTACAAAGGTATGAAGCCACACACCTCCTCACAATTTGCCCACAAGGAAATCCCTTGTGGACAAAAGGAAAACAGAACTCAGACTCACCCCTCTGCTCACGGAGACATATGCATATCTGAGTGTTCCCTTTGCCCTGTTGTTTCACTAAACCAGACTAAGGCATAAGTGACCATTCCTGTAAATCACATACTCAGTGAAAGGCTAATCAGAAACTCAGAAGATTGCAAGTTTGTTTCGCCTTTCTGGACGAAACCAATCTTACATATATTGATTGATGTCTCAGGTCTCCGTTAAATGTGTAAAACCAAACTACCCAGACAGCCTTGAGCACATGTTGTCAGGACCTCCTAAGGCTGTGTCATGGGCCGTCCTTAACCTTGACAAAATAAACTTTTAAAATTGACTGAGACCCATGTCAGATCTCAAGTGTAAACTCATGGTTTACACTTTCAACAGATCAAATGATCAAAGAGCACAGGGGGAAAAAAAATCCCCTTCTTTTATTTAGCCAAATATAAACATTTCTAATAAAATGTGATATATTTTGGTGCCTGGTATGTTTGAAGGATGTAATTTATTTTAAAAGTGAAAACTGGCTGGGCACTCACAGCACTTTGGGAGGTCAAGGGAGGAAGATCACTTGAGGCAAGGAGTTTGAGACCAGCCTGGGCAACATAGTGAGACTCCGTCTCTACCAATAAAAAGATTTAAAAAATCAGCCAGGCATGGTGGTGTACACCTGAAGTCCTTGCTACCCAGGAGGCTGAGGCAGGAGGATTACTTGAACTCCAGCCTAGGCAACAGGGCAAGGCCCTGTCTCAAAATAAAATAAAATTTTAAAAAGTGAAAACTGATTTAGGGTTATTTTGGAGTTCTAATTTCTTTAAAAGATGTCATTATCAGTTCTTTGTGGCTCAACACAGGAGTATTAGCAAGATCCAAACCAGGAAAAAAAAAATCAATCCCAAGAATCATCAATGGTAGAGGAAGATATTTCCAGATACTTTATGCAAGAAATATTAAGTGTGCATGACCCATGTATGTAGCTCTTTACCCCTTTTAAAAACAAGTGGCATCACAGCATTAGTGTATTTTGACACTTTGCATTATTTTACTCAATGTTATTTCAGAATAAAATATTGGCTCTCAGTGTAGACTTTTCAGATCAACTTCATGAGATAACAATTTACAAAATGAAATCTACCTGTGTTACAGGTATAGCTCAGTGGGCATGGACAGAAAGAAGTACAGACCACTCCTGACCACTCCGTCCATGCCTTCTGCAGTGGCCACTCCCATGCCCAGTCCCTGCCCCAGGTTGGCGCCAATCTGATGATTCCTGTCCCTGTGCATGAATTTTGTCTGTGTCAGAACTTCACATAAAGTCATCAGTGTGTGTGCTTTTCTGTCTAGCTTATTTTACGTACCACAAAAATACTGAGACTCATACACATTGCTGCATAGATCAAAAGCTCTTCCTTTTTGACTGCCAACCGGTATTCTAATGTGTGGACATAGCAAAATTTGTCCTTCCAGTCACTGTTGATGGACAACTGGGTTGCTTCCAGCTTTGGGCTATTACAAATAAAATTGCTATAAATATTTCTGTGTAAGCCTTTTGTGAAAAAATGTTTTATTTCTCTTGGGTAATTACGTAGGATGGGAATTGCCAGTTCATGTGATAAATGTGTATTTAACAATGTAAGGAGCCACCAAAGAGTTCCCAAAGCGATTGTACATCTTAGGCTTCCACCAGAAGTTTATAAGAGTTCTGGTTATTCCATATCCTCAACACTTGCAATGTCCAGTTTTTAAAATTTGAGTTATTTTAGTGGGTTTAATTTTCATTTCTCAGATGACTAATGTTGTTGAACACTTTTTTCTATACGTATTTCTATACCTTGAAAAGTGTCCATTTAAATCTTTTGTCTGTGTCCTTTGCCCACTTTTTAATGGAGTTGTTTTTTGTTCGTTAATTTGTTTAAGTTTCTTATAGATTCTGGATATTAGGCCTTTGTTGGATGTATAGCTTGCAAATATTTTCTTCTATTCTGTAGGTTATCTGTTTTCTCTGTTGATAGTTTCTTTTGCTGTTCAGAAGCTCTTTAGTTTAAGTAGGTCCCATTTGTCAATTATTGTTTTTGTTGTAACTGCTTTTGGCATCTTTATCATAAAATCTTTGTCAGCGATTATGTCCACAATGGAATTTCATAGGTTATCTTCCAGAGTTTTTATAGTTTTAGGTTTTACATTGTTAACGCAGGCTAAATATGACATGAGAAGGACTCCATTCTTCTATATTTGAGTCCTTGTAGATGAACTGCAACCTAACTTAATATGTAGACAAAATTGAGAACCTGATTTACGAGTATGCATCTGTAACAATAGCTCAGTCTTGGCCAATCCCAGAAGCCATATTTCAACCATTCACATGCTGCTGAGTGTTCAAACTGTTCAAATAAGGCAAATGATGAGCTGTAACTCATCCAGTTGTTTCTGTACTTTATTTCTGATTTCTGTATATCACTTCCCTTTTTTTTGTCTATAAATTTGCTCTGACCAGGAGGTATCCCTGGAATCTCTGATTCTGCTGTGATTCTGGGAGCTGCTTGATTCACAAATCATCCATTGCTCAATTAAACTCTTTAAAATTTAATTTGGCTGAAGTTTTTCTTTTAACAACATTCAAGTCTTTAATCCATCTTCAATTGATTTTTTGTGTATGGTATATATAAGGAAGGGGTCCTGTTTCAGTCTTCTGCGTATAGCTAGCCAGTTATTCTGGCTATTCACCATTTATTGAATATGGAGTTCTTACCCCATTGCTTATTTTTGTTGACTTTGTCCAAGATCAGATGACTGTAGGTATGTGGCATTATTTCTGGGTTCTCTATTCTGTTCATTGGTCTATGTGTCTGTTTTTGTATCACTACCATGCTGTTTTCATTACTATAGCTTTGTAGTACAGTTTGAAGTCAGGTAGCATGATGTCTCCAGTTTTGTTCTTTTTGCTTAGGATTGTCTTGGCTATTTGGGGTCTTTCTTGGTTCCACATGAATCTCAAAATTGTTTTGTTTTCTAATTCTGTGAACAATGTCATTGGTAGTGTAATAGGAATAGTATTGAATCTATAAGTTGCTTTATGCAGTATGGCAATTTTAATAATATTGATTCTTCCTGTCCATGAGCATGGAATGTTTTTCCACGTATGTATCATCTCTGATTTCTTTCAGCAGTATTTTGTAATTCTTGTTGTAGAGATCTTTCACTTCCTTGGTTAGCTGTATTCCTAGGTATTTTATTCTTTTTGTGTAAAATAGGCGTTTTAAATAGTATAATCTGCCATTCCTAGATCTGTTTTTGACTGAATCGTCTTCTAGCTGTGAGTTATGTTTTCCTGTTTTTACTTCTTTCTAGTAAAAGAGCATTGTAGATACTACCATGTTGAGTGC